TTCCCCAGGTGTCTGGGGCCCCAAGACTAGGAATGGTGCAGGGCCCAAACTAGGAGTATAGAACGGCGGGGGCGGGCAGGGGGGATAGAAGGGTGAATGTGGCTTAGGGAGTCCCGGTGCAGAGAGCTGCGCTATAGACTTACCCCAAGAGGCCTGAGGATAGTCTCAGATAACCAATTTTAACCTTAATAGATTCACTATTATATATTCTAGCTTTTGAGAACCTTTCCTTTATCATCTCCACCACGTTTCCTCAATAAAATCTCCCAATTTAATACTTTCATATAATCTATTAGTTTCCTGAATTAGTGAATCTTTTTAGATTGTAAGAAAACACAGAGCAGTACTGGAAATAGCCTCAGAGACATCAGAAACAGTGATATTAAGTGACTTTTGATCACTCACACACACACACACACACACACACAAAGACACACACACACACACACACACACACACACACACACACACACACAAAAAAACAGTCTCAAAATTGTTCACAATCTGGCCATGCCCTTACTGTCATATTTCTGTTATTGAACTCTCTTTTTCTGCTGCTTCCACTGTGTAATCTGTAAGATGAATTTCTATAAGAAGCTAAATTAATCATTTCCATAGAGAATGAAAGACCTCTTCATATTTCTAACCACATTCCTAAGATGTATATTTGTTTACAGAAGCATGAACCTGCTCATAAGAACAGTAAATATGTCAAAAGTCTCCTCCTTGTCAGTGTCAGAAATTGTAGTATTACAACAGCTGTTGTATTTGTGAAGTCACAGTGAACAGTACGCAACACTTCAACAGTGAAGTGTTTTCAATTTCTTTCTGGTTTATTTATTTTATTATATTGCAACATTTGATTCAAAGTCTTTGTAGGAATTTAAAATTCCTTTAGAATATTTTAGGGAAGTGGGGCTTTCATTTAAATGCTAGTCCTGGGGAGTCAGGAATATAGTTCAGTTAGTAAGAGCACGTGCTACATAAGTTAGTAAGAGCACTTGCTACGTAAGTATGAGTAACTGTATTGAATCCACAGCAGTACAGTATAGAACGGTCAGTAGGAACATGTCACCAATTTCAGTATTGAGGAGACAGTGGTCCCACACATGTCTGTACACCCCCAGGATGGGGAGGATGTAGACAGGAATATTGCTGTGATTTACAGGATGCAAATCTAGTACCAAGTTCAGTGATAGAACTTGTCTCAAGAAAATAAGGTAGAGACTGATGACCTCTTTTGGCTTCCACACAGATGTACACAGCCATATGAACCTATGCAAATACAAGTATACATTCAATGCACACACACCCCACACATATATACAAAAACAAGAATAAAAATTCTGAATTAGGTACATTTGTGAAATATTTTGGAGAGTGACAAAGATATTACCACATTACTCCTGCACAATTTTGAGTTGTTTTAATAAAAATACAATGGGTGGTAAAGTGAGATCTAAGTATTTTTTTGTAGCAGTTTTGCCAGTGAATTTTTGACTTGTTTATTTCTCAGACTGTAGATAATTGGATTCAGCACAGGAATTATGACAGTGTAAAATACAGAGTCCATCATATCTTGATCACCTACTTGCAGAGATGCAGGGCGCACATACATGAACAGTAGGGAGCCATAGTATAAAGACACAGACAAGAGATGGGCTCCACAGGTGGAGAAGGCTTTGCTTATGCTTTTGATAGATTTCTGCTTTAAGATTGAAAAGAGAACAAGTGTGTAAGAGAAAATAATAGTCAAAATAGTGAATACCTGGATTGAACCAGAGAAAATAAAAACAATTAAAAAATTAAGAGACGGGTCAGAACAGGAAATCTTTAACAATGGCATAACGTCACAGTAAAAGTGGTGTATTATGTTGGACTTACAGAAGGTTAATCTGAATAAAAAGCCTTCATGAATTAAAGCATGAATAAATCCACCTACAAATGACAAGACCAGCAAACAGACGCAGAGTCTATTTGTCATAACCATTGGGTAAAGTAAAGGTTTGCATATGGCTGCATAGCGATCATAGGCCATTGCTGCCAAGAGAAAGCATTCTGTGGTTGCACTGTTTACAAATGAAAAGAATTGCACCAGGCATTCAGGCACAGAGATCAGTTTACTCTTAGCTAAGAGGTTGAGCAACATCTTTGGTGTCACTGTAGATGATAACCAAGTATCCACAAAGGCTAAATTACCGAGAAAGAAGTACATGGGGATGTGAAGGTGAGGGTCACTCCAAATGAGAGTGATAAGACCAAGGTTTCCCACAATGGTGATGAGATAGATCACTGAGAACAGGAGGAAAAGAGGGATTTTCCAGTGTGGCAGATGAGGGAGTCCTGAGAGAACAAATTCGGTCAGCAGTGTTGCATTCTCTTGTCCCATGTCTTCATTGGATGTCTCCTGAAAGGAGAGGCAGTGGATGTCGGACATAATTCACTAACGGTTAGGGAAGTGAAATTCTGTGTAATGACGTTGAAATCCAACCATGTACTTATCAGAATAACCTCTGAATTTCATTCAATCTGACTATAATAAATGGAAACTTTTCTTGAAATTGAAGAAATTATTTCAATCCGTTCATTAATTTTAAAATGTGAATGTATTGACAGATTTCATTAAAACAAGATGTCTCCTAAATTTGTGGGAAATGTGTGAAGAACTCATTTATTTAGTAAGAAAATTCTTTACCTATTTCACAGATTCACATTTAAAGGAAAAAATGTTTTATACATCTGACTTGTAGACAAATTAAAAGATCTTAGTCAATTAAAAATGGACTAACTTGATGCAGTGAATATTAAAATGGCAGATGAAAATATTTCAAAATTAACTTTAAATTAATTATACAGCAATAGAAAAAAAACAGTTTTCTGAAGGAGAAATCTGTAGGCAGCAATATTATAAATTTCTTACTGTATTCACAGACTCCTGAAGCACAGTTTATATCACAATTGTCTGGGAATATTGGTGCAAAATGTAGATTGTGAGATATAAGTATAAATTGTTTTAACACTTTATAAACAAAAGCATAATGATCTACCCTTTAAAACCTTCTTTAGATCATTTTAATATAAATGAAGTTATTCAAATATATACGACAGGTCATCATGTGTGATTAGGAGGACAAGGAAATAAGTCTGAAAGAATTCATGATGTAGAGCATCTATGACACTTGAGCTGGGTGTTCAGTGAAACAGAAAAATTTCATTTATTGATTGTGCATATGGAAAATTGGTTGACAGTTAAGTTCCACTAGTATGTTGATCATTATCACTGAAATACAGTAGACATACTGAGAAATAAGGCTCTATTAAGGTTTGACAGTAATGCCCATGTGTGACTGCCTAGCTCTTTTCCTTTTATGCCCATTTTTTCCAGAAAATTAATTTCTCCAGAATTTATATGTTAGAGACAATCGTTTCTCATTGCAGTCAAGAGACCATTAACATCAAAGAAAATCAAAAGAATGACACAGAAATGACACAGAGCAAAGCAACTGGACGCTTGAGCGTGTGGTCCTAAAAGAGAAGAGCTAATAAAGATGGAATGGTCAAATATGGTGACAGGAGGCAAAATAGAGGCTCTTTGAGGGAGGGAGGTTGGCTAGCAATCCTTGAGCTGAGTGGTAAAATTACAGGTTCCTGAGAACTTGCTCATTGGAACTTACAGTAATGATAACAGCATTTTCATGATTCATGCAAACTCAATCAGACAAAAACCAGCATAGAACTAGGGAAAAAGGCAGAAGGCTCCAAACTTAGTCAAGGAACAATATTGGCAGCTGACCATTGCTGGGTGAAGGAGCATTGATCTTCTTTAACGGAATGATGCTAGGCAGGCTGAACATGGTCCAGTGAATCAACTCACACCGAGGCATGTTTAGGCACACAAACTTGATTCCATATGCCTTAATATTTAGAACAGAATGCATAAAATGCATTGGGTAAGCTGGAGGGGTGCAAATAGAGGAGGGGGGTCTAAATATGATTAAGATGTATGAAATACACAACACTTTAATTAAAAAATACATTGAAAAAAGGAGGCATTTTTAATGGTTTGATAAAAAACAGTTTCCTGCAGGTGGTCAGAAAATATTCAGATTAAAGAGAAAGAAAAGGCCACACAGTGAAGGAATCTGTGTGTTCTTCTGAGAAATGTGGGGAGAGCTGACATTTGTCATGTGTTCTGAGACCACTGTAATCTTTTGCTTATAGATTATATGATCTTTTAATTGAAATCAACAGAATAATTGCTTTTGTTAGAATCATTATGACTTGAATCTTAAAAGCAATGGTTAACACTTGTTCCTCAGAACTTAGAACCCATTATAGTAAGGTGAAATAGATTTTAAAATATCATTAAAGAGAACAATTCAGGATATATTGTCTGTTAATATTTAGTCATGAAATTAAAATATACAAAAAATTCTTTGCTGCTGCTGTCTTCATTTATGCATAGGTAAGTAGGAATCCAAAACGAAATATAAAATTATGATGAAATAAAAAGCATACTTAACTTTCTATGGAAAGCATGGTGAATATTATAGAGCTCATTTCTCTTTTACCTTGAAAGTAATTTCAAAGATCCTTCCAAAATGTTGAGCTTTTTAGCAGAAAATAGCAGAGCTGTATGGGAAGGCAGTAACATGGGTAGCTGTTCTTTTCCTGGTGATCATTTGCAAGTTTCATACCTAAGTACAGAAGACATTTTATACGAATTTTCCTTCAACAGAAAAATCATTTGGACCTCTTCATGCTTTTTCCATATGAGGAGGTGTTGAAGAACCAAAATTCCCTTGAAAGCCACATGGTTCTCCAGAGGAAAAAAGGCAGCTGTGCTACTGGACACTGTGGGTTTGGACAGGTATGAGAAATACAAATTGGTCCCACCGGGTCACACAGACGTCAAAACTGTGAATATTTATTTACTGTGAGAGACCTAGTTTAGCAATTAAAATTAAACTTTGTTATACTATTTCCCATCACAGACGTCACTTCCGACAGGTTTAACCATGTTACATATAAATGTTCATACTGAGGAATTTAATACTGAACAGTATGCTTTTTCTGAGCTAATCAAACATGACTAATAAGACCAATAATCAAGATCTCATTTCTTTTAAACTTTGAGTCATGACATATCATGAGTCGTGAAACATTTGGCAACTGTAATGGTTTTGGTTTAAATGCATAACGACCTAAACATTTATTCAAAATAAAATATGTAATGAATCTGAGGTGTTTCTGGCAGCACTTACCCACACTGCATTAGGACCTCACTGCAACCTTGCTTTTGAACACACATGCACTTTGCACTGCAAAACCATTATTTTAAACAACATAAACTCTTCTTGAAGCACAGAGAACAAGTGTTTGTGAGATGCCCAACCTTAAGTGACACACCTACAATGGAACCTTTACACCTAAGACTCATGGAACATAGTGGAACAGGGGATAGAGAGAATACTAATGCATCTCTTAACTCTCATCAATGACGCTCCCTCATTCAACAGAGGGCAATGAACATAAAAGTCCACAACTGGCCAAAGCATAGAGAATAAGAGTCTGCAGAGTTTGGGTCCCTGGACAGGACTCCTATATTAAACTTTACCCACCCAGGGCTCAAGGACCATTTTGGAAGAAGGCGGTGGAAAGATTGTAAGAGCCAGGGGAGAAGGTACATGACCATATGGGATCTTGCTCAAATGAAGGTACAACAATAGTGACAGCATGCACAAGACCCATGGAAACTCAATCAGACAAAAACCCAGCATAGAACTGGAGAAATGGGCAGCAGGCCTCAACCTTAGCTGAAGAATTTATTGATTTATTGGCAACTGATTACCGGCAGGTGAGGGAGAGTTGATTTTAGTGTGTGTGTGTGTGTGTGTGTGTGTGTGTGTGTGTCTTATCTATCTATCTATCTATCTATCTATCTATCTATCTATCTATCTATCTATCTATATCTATCTATCATGTATCTATCTATCAATCAATCTATCTATCATCTATCATCTATCTATTATTGTGATTTTTTATTGAATGTTTGCATATTTCACACACACCAAAGGATGGTTCAGATAATAAATGTTTGGGTTAACAACCAAAAAAAAAAAAATCAAGAGTTGATCTTTAAAGGAGAGACTGTAGATAGGCTGACTAGACCACAGTGGATGAACTTGTACTGAGGGATATCTGGGTACACTAACTTGATTCAATAGGTATTAATATATATGATAGAATGCATGAAGTCTGGTCGGGGGGCAATAGGGAATGTGGATGGGGAAGGGGGTATAAAGATGATTAAGATGTTTTGTATGAAATGCACAAAACTTCAATAAAAATTATATATGAAAAATAGTATTTAATTTCTAATATTGAGTCAATGACTTGACTTCCATACGAATTTCAAATGAATTTTGTCTTGGAATTAGGACAGAATTTCCAACAGTTTCTGAAATGAGCATAAAAGCACACCTGCCATTCTGTACTACATACTTTCATAAAGTAGAAGCCTTAGCATTTGATGATCATAAAATCAAAATTGCAATCAATTGTCAAAAGTGTTGAAGATGATCTTTGTCCTTCAACAGCAAATATTCGGTCAAGACTTAATTCTTTATGTAAAATAAGGAAGAATATCCATCTCATTATTATGCAAATTTGCTTTCCTCTTTAGTAGTTGGTAAAATTTCATGCATACCAAAATTTGTTTAAAATAAATATATTAACATTTCATTATTCATAAACATTTGATTTGTATGTCTGTTTTATGTAACTATGTACTTAGGGTGACAAAAAATTTATCAAACTAAAAGCAGTAATGAATGGAAAAAAATTGAAAAGCACTGACTTAGATAAACTGAAGTTCTGTTTTCATCATAATCGTCACTTAAACTGAATATATACTCATATGTCCTTCAGTTTAAGCTAAAATTAGATGAGAAATTCCAGGAGACAAGGAGACAAATAAAACATTAAAGGACTATAGTGGTGGGTAGACTGTATCTGACGTTACCAACCATTAAATCTTGACATCTAAATTCCCTGGTGATCTTGTTAAAATGCAGATTTTGCTTCAGTAGCTGTGGGTGGGCTGCCAGTCTACTTTACAGCAAGGGTATTCCTGTGGACAGTGTTACCCACAGGCCTTTCACCATTCAAGGACCAAGATTATGAGAGAACCAAAATCATTAGAGAAGCCAAAAACTGTAAAAGTGAATTGACTGCAGAGGAAGAAGTGGAGAGGAGGCAGATGTGGCCCAAGAGACAACACATGTCATAAGCTGTGGCACTCCAACATAGAAGAAGGATCTGGAGCAGATTTAACATTCAGATTTTCTTTTGATCAGTAACACTAGAACTGGTCAAAAAAATAGTCGTCAGGGGTAAACAGTACTAAATTTATTTATTTGTTGCATTCATATTTGATATCTGAAAAATGGAATGTAACTGTAAGGAAATAGAAAGCAGAAAGTGAGACACAAAACCCACCTTCTATAGAGAAAGCAGATTTATTAAAGAATAAACCTAAGTTGGCACCCCCCTATGACCCTGGGACGGGAGGTGGTGGGCACCACCCCGAAGCCCAGGATTTGGAGGACAGCATGTCCTCCTTTACAGACTCAGGGTTTTAAATATTTCTCCTTTCAGGGAGAGGGAAGAGGTTTGAAACTGAAGTTGTGTCATATACGGCAGATGCAGAGTAGGTTGCCTCAGTAAGAGGAGGGTCAGGGAGGGCAGTAGAGTCATGGACTCTGGTTCAGGGAGTGCTTTATGATTTGGGATGGAGTCATATCAGAGGGGCCAGTGGGCCGGGGGTTATGGGAAACAGCCTCTCAGGAAAGCTGCTAGGGAGTGGTCACCTGCTAAGGGGAATTCAGGACCTAAGAGTTCTCCTCAGGAACTACCAGCACAAGAATATTTGTGTTTGTTTCCTCCACTGTTAAAAGGGGGCAAGCAGATGGGATATATTACTTTGAAACACTCATGGATCCAGTATCTGGCTTCCTTAGAGTTTTCTTTGTGACAAATAAGTAGAAAAACATGATACAGGAAAGTGGAGTCACTTTTCTACTTTGCAGAAAAGTAGAATAAGCAACATGGTATAGAACTGAAGATCCGAACCAAAATTTGACTGTTACCTTAGAGTTTGTATGATGATCTCAACTCCTTTATTAGCTACTTTTGAGTACAAAAGTTCTATCTAATTATTTCCAATAGGGACAGGCTTTCCAAATGTATTCATTTTAGCAGGTAACCTGATCTCTCAGTGAGGTTTTAATTAGCATTTACCTGGCCACTAATTTTGTCCAGCATGTACTCCTACTGTTATTTGACATGTGTATTAGTTTAAGTGAATTTCTTCTTCAAGTCTTTGTCCACATTTAAATTGAGCTCTTGTTTCTTTTATATTTTGAGAGCTTATAATTTATCCCTAAGTGCATACAGATCTTTCTTTTTTAAATGAAGGAGTGTTGTGGTAGGATGATTCTGTGGAGAGAACTGTATTAAGCAAAGAAACCTTTAGGCTAGAGATATGGCCCAGTCATTGAGTGCTTGATTGACTGCTCTTGTAAAGGACTGAAGTTCAGTTACTAGCACCCCACATCCTGCACTTCACAGCTGCCTGTAACTTCAGCTCCAGGGGATCCAACTCCATCTTCTGGTCTCCACAGGCACCTGCACTTGTATGCACATAAAGACATGCATTTCGCATGCATGTGCACATACACACACTCAAAATTAAAAAGAAATCTTAAAAAGAAATTTGCCTGAACAATGAAGAGTGTATAGAAGGCAGTAATATATTTTAGCTATAACACAAGATACAATAGGATTGCAAGTGAAGAGATTCCAGAGTTAAAGTTTTTTTTTTTTTTAATCTGTCATATGATTTAGGGAGAGCAGAGGAGAAAGAATATCTATGCACTAGGTAACTTTTACATGCACACATACAAATACACTTATCTATATTCCCAAACATTTACACATATATTCAGAAATAATACATGTACCATATAAATAATCTGGTAACAATGGCTATTTGGTATGTTACTAAAGTATATTATGAATTAAATCAGAGATAATTATATGTAGTACCAGGTGGCATCAATGCTTAGGAGAGAGGGCGCTGTAAGCTGAATGTTAGGAGACCTGTAACTGACATTGTGCAAAGCACACAGTGAGAAAAATTTACTCTGGATAATCACTGATGTTTATGGAAGTACATATAAAATTTCAGTATGAGGCCAGGTTAGGTATAAAGGAAATGTTCATTAATCCTTAAACAGTATAAGAAAGGTAACAGTTAAGGACTTTTCACACATATACAAACTTGCTCATTTTCTTTTTTGAAAAAATTATTTATTTTTTTTTATGTGAATGAGTGTATTATCTGAAAGTGTGTAAGTACACCCATGTCGTGCAATGCCCACAGGGGTCAGAAGAGGGTGTTGGATGCCCTGGAACGGGAGTTACAGATGATTGTGAGCAGCTATGTGGGTTCTGGGAAAAAACCTGGGTCCTCTGTAAGAGCAGCCAGGGGTCTTAACCACTGAGCCTCCTTTTCCAGTCCCCCAGACATGCTCATTTTCATACCTACATTTCCATAGCTACATACTAGACACTGTAAACTGTATCTTCTTGGCAATATCAGCTCTTTGGTAATATGAGTTTTAAATCTACTTGTTTCAGTAACAGCCTAGTAACTATTGTGATATAAATGATTTCCTATGCTTAGTACATTTCTTTAATTCCAAGACCATTGAAAGCATTTACTTTGTATTCTGGCCTTTCTTCTCTACATGAACAGGGACACCTTGACTAACATGTTCAAATAAAGCCACAAAAACCTTTGTAAACATCACAAACTGTATTAAGTCCCTCTCTTCATGTCTCATAAAAATACACTGAGAATGCTGAGTCTCTCTCTCTCTCTCTCTCTCTCTCTCTCTCTCTCTCTCTCTCCATTCTGTGTTCTCCATATGATACCTAAGATAAATGTCAATTTCTACAGGAGGTAAAATGTGCCATTTCCCCATACACTGAGAAAGAACTTTAAAAAGACTAGTAGACTTCCTGGGATTTTCACCAACTTCGCCAAAAGCAAAAATACCAATTCAATGAAAAAGGTCATGGGAGTCTCCAACCTATCCATAACTGTGAATTATGTCATGTACCATAGTTAAGTTGTTGTGAAAACAGAACTATTACTTTAAAACTTAATATATTAATAAAGTCACGTAGAAGAACATATCAGCATATGAATGTTTTCATTCCTTATTCCTTCATTATTTAGCATGGCATGAATATTTGAGTGAAATTGTTGATGGTTTTAAATTAAAGATAGCAATATTTAAGGTGATATTATACATATTACTTTAAGTCATTAAAATGATTGAAGGGTTAATTTAACCAGATTTAAAAGCACACATTTAAAGAAAAATATTTAAGGAGAACTAAAACTGCAAATTTTTTTCATTTTATTAAAAAAAAGTCTGTGAGTTTTTTGCTCAAAAGAGAGGAGATATTAAAATATCTAAACACATTTCTTTAATATTTTTGCTATAGAATCTGTAACTTGCTTGTTCCTCAGACTGTAAATAATTGGATTTAACACAGGAATTATGATCGTGTAAAACACTGAGTCTGTCACGTCTTGATCATCTGCTTGCTGAGATGCAGGGAGCACATACATGAAGAGAAGAGGGCCATAGTATAAAGACACAGAAAAGAGACGGGCTCCACAGGTGGAGAAAGCCTTCCTTATGCCTTGCAAAGAATTTCTTTTTAAAATTGTGAACAGAACAAGTGTATATGACACAAGAACAATCACAATGGTGAAGGCCTGAATCAAACCAGCCAAAAGATATACGAGTAGAAAATTAAGAGAAGGATCAGAACAGGAAATTGTTAGCAATGGCATAATATCACAATAAAAGTGATGCACTTTATTGGAGTTGCAGAAGACTAATTGAACTAAAAACCCTTCATGAATGGAAGCATGAAGAAGCCCACCTAAAAATGACAAGACTAATAGAACTATGCATACTCTGTTGGTCATAATCACTGGATAAAGTAAAGGTTTGCATATAGCTACATAGCGATCATAAGCCATTGCTGCCAATATAAAACATTCTGCAGTAACCCAGATTACAAAGGAAAAAAATTGTATCATACATTCAGAAAAAGAAATCCTCTTCCCCATCTGTAAGAAGTTGAGCAGCATTTTTGGAGTTACTGTGGATGACAAACAAGCATCCACAAAGGCCAGACTCCCCAGGAAAAAGTACATAGGGATATGCAAGTGAGGGTCACTCCAAATGATGGCGATCAGTCCAAGATTCCCCACAATGGTGATGAGATAGATCATTAAGAATAACAAGAAAAAGGGCACCTGCAGCCATGGACGGTCTGTGAGTCCTGTCAGTTCAAACTCTGTAAGCAATGTTGCATTTTCATTCTCCATAACACCACCAGCTGTCCCCTGAAATGAAACAAAATATGTGATAAAGAATGTCCACTAGGAAGGCTTGGGAGGTAGCTCAGTGGTTAAGAGCACTGACTGTTCTTGCAGCAGACCCAGGTTCGGGTCCCAGAACCCAAATGGTGGCTAATAACAATCAGTAACTCCAGAGGTTAAGAACACTGGCTGTTCTTGCGGAGGATCTGGGTTCATGTACCAGAACCCACATGGCTGTTAACAACCATCCATAACTCCCATTCCAGTGGATCTAGCACCCTCTTTTGTCCTTTGTGGGCATTGTACAACACGTATGCAGTTATATACATATAGGCAGTACACCCATACACATAAAAAGTAAAATTAAAAAGAATGCCCACTAGGATTTATAAAATGAAAATTTGGGAAAAGGCATTTGATATTTAAAAATGGCCCTATCAAGATAGTATTTTAGGACTGGAGAGATGGCTCAGCACTTAAGAACACTGGCTGTTCTTGCAAAAGACCCTGGCTCGAATCCCAGCACCCACATGTCAGCAAACTGTCCGTAACTCCAGTTCCAAGGGATCCGATGACCTCTTCTGTCCTCTGTGGGCATTGCATAACACATGGGCATTGAAAGGCACAGTGCACTTACATATAGGCAATACACGCATACACATAAAATAAAAAATAATAAATAAAATGTTTTAAAAGAGTATTTTAATATTATTCTTGTTAGTTCAAATTATGGAAGTGTTTTGAGAAATTTGAAAACTGAAACAAATGCAATTATAACACTAATAAAAATATGATCAAATAATTTCCTCTTTAAAATGTTCCTCAGTTCATTAAAATACAGATAAAATGGCCATCGCTCTGTGAAATGACATTGCATGTGATGAGGAGGATAGAAGTTGAAATTCTCAAAATTTTAGAACATAGAGTCAGTAGGACTTATTTATGTGCTTACTGTGGACACTGAAGTCAGTAAAGTAGAAACGAGAGGTTTGCCAACTACGTAGATGGTCATGCAAAATTGAAATTGAGCACATGGTAGATTCCTTTACAAGTTTGTAGTTTGATCACCCTCTCAAACCACAGGTAAGATTATCATCATAACATGACTGAACTGAAATATCGGTAATGATGTCATATGGGTCACTGGGGTAGTTGAACATATAATGTGGACCATGAATCTATCACAGAGGTTACAAATATAAGACCAAGTAAAACACTTGAAGTTGTTATATGAAAGAAGCTATAAAAAGACTGGATGTCTTCTTCCATTTTATGACTAATTTCTGTTCCCCTTTCTATTGCAAGTTTTTTTTTTTTGACTACAAACAGGGAATTTGTCTTATAGATTTGTTCATTCAAACCCATCCAAATTAGATTTGATTGTCGAGAAGTAGATATAACTGCACATAGACAAAAACCAATCTATGAGGCCATGGCTCAAGATAAAAATGTCAAGACTCCAACACTTGCATTGCATACCTTCGACAATGTCAGTGTGAGCTGTGATATCAACCAAATAATAGCAGTAACTACAGACCTCATCAGTGGACTGACTGCCTTGCTTCCTTCTACTTCTGTCATGCCATTGGAGTTCAGCAATTTCCAAGTTTTGAGCTTATTTCGATTCAATAAACTCACTTCCAGTTTAAACTAAAGACATGCCCCTCCAAGAGGAAGAGAAGTTAGAGACAAAGAAAAGTTACTGAACAGTGCTTAAACAGTCAAGAAACTAGAAATTGGAGGGTTGCAGACATGAGGAAAGTGAAGGACAGCACCAACTGTGAAAATAAACACGCTAAGCACAGAAAGAGCAGAGGGTTTCTCATTGTAAGTACTTTGAAGAGAACATTTGTATTAAAGGGAAGTAAGGTCAGGGAATAGCAAAATGTTAATGGCAAACAAGGGGCTGACCTATGGGTGCAATTCACATATGGAATATCCATGTGAAATGATACAAGCCGTTCCATGAAATACACATCATAGTTGGCATTTGTCTAACACTTAGATATATATTTTTTGTTTTGTAAAGATTGAGCAAAATTTTCAAAAGGAACAAAAGGCAATTGAGAGGAGAATGGTGCAAAACAGAAGAGAAAAGAGAGAAAAGGAAACAAATTTGGGTGGTTGAAAAGAAAATAAGGAGATAGTGAAGAAATAGGTAAAAATAACAGTAATGGAGAAAAGTAGGAAATGCAAGTCAAAGTCAAAGCAAAGAGAGTGTGTGTGTGTGATGCATAAATATCTAAGGGGAAGAATTGAGTTTGGAGGAGAATGTTTGCACTAACTCTTGTGATCAGTAATCATTGTCATTCTAAGACTATTTTCATTTTAAGAATTCAAAGTTCATTTTCCTCTGGAATCTGCATATGATTAAGAAGTTTGACTTTAAATTTTGTCTCTTTCGTAACTGTACTGGCACTGCCTAAAGGTCCATTCCATATGAAAGGGATGCTTTAATTTTTTGTTATCAAAATAAAAAGAACCAGAGACTGGATTTCAAAATAGATCATATGAAGAATAAATGTAAATCATCATATTGATCAAATAAAATTTCCTGTGCAATGTGCCTCCACCCATATTCTAAATCTTAAAATCATTAACAGTTCTCAGATTCACCTTGTGTTTGAGTGTTTTTCAAGTAATAAATACTAGACAAGGCAGGCAATGAACATATACTTTATAATTCCAAGTACATATATATTCATGCATATATACACAAATACTTGTAATTACCATTTTTATACTTAAATATTCAATATATAGACATATG